CCGAAAAAATAGCAAAATATACAGACTTATCAATAGAAATAAAAACTCAGTGGAAGATTACCCATACCAAAACTGTTCCAATAATTTTATCCTCCACGGGGGTAATCCCAAAAACTCTCCATAATAGTCTTAAAGAGTTAAATATTAGCCCATCAACCTACCTCCTTCTTCAGAAGGCAGTAATTTTAAACACTTGTCGCCTAACCCGAAAATTTTTAAACACATAGAAATAACATTCAATTTAATTAACCGCACTTGGCTTCGGCCCGTGCTTTTTATAAACCCCACTACGATGGGAGAATTATAAACGGTTCAAGAAATAATAATAATAATTATCATCATCATCATCATCATCATCATCATCATCATCATCATCATCATCAACAAAATTTACTATACAAAAATGGCTACACTCAAACTATGATATGATTCGAATTACCGGCAGAACAACGTCATTAGTGGCTAGTTTCAACAACCTACTAATATTTTAGTCAATAGATTTGGTTTCAAAATAGAGGTACACTTCAATATTTATAGTTTATTAGAAAACTTTAGCTACGTCACAAAAACGTGTCACTAAATGGTTTCTGAAAATACAACAAATGTTTGGTTTAGTATATGGATATCTTACATTGATGAAAACGTTCACGAGTAGGTCAATTTCCGCGTGTACTCTCTGTTCTTGATCGCTTCTGTTTCGGAAGTAGGATATTGCAGTGGAAGGCCCTGACTCTGTATCATTAATAGTTTGTGTGTGCTGTTCAGTGCGTGCGCACTGCCAGTTGGTAATGTATCTTCCTATAATCTCTGAATTCAAAGCTGCGTCCTAAACATTTCAAGGAAACATCACAAATGAGAAAGAAATAGTTCAATAAAGCAGGTACCTAATGTATACCAGCGATTTTTGTCAGCCACCTAAGAATACGTGTATGTCTTAAAAACAACAGTATATAGCACATCTTTTTATATCCGAAATTGGCAAGACACACATTGCACTTTAACACAATAGGGAGTGAGCCTATTGTCGAATAACTACTGATTACAATTTCAGACTTTGTGCTGTTGGAAAATACAAAACAGGTAAAAAATGATAGCGTTACTCACTTCAATTTTACTCCTAAGTTGATCTATAATCAGGTTTGTATCGTAAGCGACCGTTTTAATATGAATCCGCTGTTGTCTTAGTTGCTTCATCAGTTCACGTCGAGAGCTATTAAAATCAAACAAAGCATAAAAATAAATTACATTTGATTGATTATTGAAACTACTATTGCGAAGAATTATTTGGGAAAATGAAAAACAGTTTTGCAATAGTACGACTTTGAGACCCCGCGCTGGTGCATTTATGGTGATTTAAAAAACATTGAGAAAAACGTGGAATAATCTACTTCTATGTACAGACATTTTATTTTTGCCTTCTTCTTCAGCGAGACAAATTCTGTATAAATCTCGTTCTTCTACTTCCCTATTGCAACTAGTAAGCACACTGAAACATCTGTGCAGTGCTAACTCTAGGTACGTTTCCTCCAATACTTCTTGAAAGTATATTCTGAAAACAACAAAATTGTGTGACAACCTTGGGCTTGGAAAAAGAGAAGAAGCTCTAACGTTCAGCTTTGTTTACATTTCCGTTACTGAAAATATTTAGTATAAAATAAAACTTTACACATCAGATGGGTCTCATAGCACAGCATTTCCCTATATAGTTCTGATGGTAAATTGTAAAACATAGGTACCTGTCAGCAACAAGTTTGTCTAGCTTGTACTGCATATTTCCCATATCTTTGGTGTTGATCCTGGTCAGATCATCTTTATTTTCGACACTTTTTATTTGATATTTCTTCGCTCGCAGGATAGCCATGTCAGCCATGGTTTTTATTAAACGTAACTGGTTATTACATTCAGCTGTATGGTAATAAAGCATATTAGGACTGTATAACTACGTTTAATACATCTCGTAACATCCCGTTCACTCTTTGTTTTTCCGTAAGAATAAGCAGTTTTTATTTTCGATTGTGCTATGATTTTTCTATAATCGAAACCTCATACCCAATATATCACATGATCCGGGTTTTGAACTCGAAACCCCATGCTAAACCTTAAGAAATAATGCAATTGTTTTAAAAACAACCAAAATATGTCACTCACCCAATATCCGCACTTGTGCTAAAGAATCTTCTAATGCACTGGCAAACATTATAGCTTGATAATATGGAAGACTGTAAAAATTTACGTTAATTATTTTTATCGACATCGCTATATTTTTTTTAATTGCTACGCACAGCACTATGGTTTGGTAACTGGCAAGGCATCGTTTTAGATTTTTGAATGTAAAAATACTTACCTATTTATCGAGGTCAGAAGGATGTAATTTATTAATAGAGAAAACATATTTTTTACGAATTATATATCTTATGCACGGCGGCATAATGTGCATAGGTAACAGAAGATCACTGATCTACTGACAGGCAATGACGTATTCTTATTCAGAAGAAATGCCGCAAGTATTTTATAGACATTACTTTTACTTGGAATAGAAGTACCTAGGTATATAGGTACCTAAGTAAATAGTTAGTAAAAAGTCTGTTTCTAACCAAAAGGTAGACTCCTCTTTATGAAGCCCAGAGTGTTTGGAAGTATTCTCACCACCGATGCTCTGTAAAACAATATTATAGTTGATTGCGTCATCAGCAGTACGTACATGTACTGTCCACTCCGCAGTCGCGGAAGACTTAGCGGGTTAGGCCCGGCGCGGCGCCCATTATTGGTGGGCATTGGTGCGGCTCGGGCGCCTAAGAGTTGCATCGGGCGACTTTGGGATGCCTCGGCAGCCGTGAGCATGGCTAAGAACGCCGAGGCGGTCTCCGTCTTCTACGGCGTAAAGCGCTTGAGCTGTACCGAGCCGCACCGATGCCCATCGATAGTGGGGCGCCTTACCGGGGCTCCGTGTCGAAGCAGGAGTAGGAACAGAGCGGGTTTTAGTTAGTAGGTAGTCTCACACTCTCACGCCTCACCCTAGGCGGGAAAATTCATTGAATGATTTTTCCCTCAAAAAAGGGAAGGAACCTACTAGATCGTATCCAGTGGTACGTGTGTAGATGTTCTAACGCTATTGGTTAGGGACCAGGAACAGTTTTTATCTAAGTTGGGCATCACTGTATTACTTTATTTTTATAATATAACTGCTATCTGTATCTCGCCTATCGGTCTGTGATGATGCGGTCAGCGGCTAAGGGTACCTAGTACTCTTTCCTATACGGTCAATAGGTAACTCAGGGTCTACAGACAGTCCATCTGAAGATACTATTTTCAATTTTTTACGTACTTTTAGTCTTTGTCTGCCAGGAACTTTCCGGATAAACATGTTACCAGCATGCTGATCGCTATCATCACTTCGATTCTTTCTTTTGTGAGTAGTAGTCATAATAATTACTTATCTCAAAATGTATTGTATAACAATAAAAATTAAATTATGCAATAAAATATATAGATCTAACACAAACTTTTGTAAAAAGTTTAAACAAATTTAAGATATTTCTAAAAATACAAAATCATTTCAAAGATTATGACCGTTAGACAAAAGTTGTTTGTCCCTTTGACATTTGATTTGAGTGACATAGGTTTTCTCAATAAGCAACAACATGGTTAAAAATTAAATATTGTCTGTGGTTCATACTGAAACCGAAAGGCGACCATTCCATGGCCATTCAGAGCGAGTTTCATTATTTAGTACACGAATTCTCTATAACTACTTAGTTACTAGTTTTTATTTTCGTAATTCTCATGGAGTCTGGGAAGCAGGGATAAGGAGTGGAATGAGACTTGAGAGTGATATGGTAGTCCTAAAAACCAATTTCAATGGGTTGCATGATCCATCCAAAGTCTTTAATTATTCAATTTTATTTTAAGCTGAATTAGGACTTACCATTTCCCTTTTAATACTAATACGATCCATGCAGCTTATACTCATATTCCATTAGAAAACTTCGCCAATATATTATAATATCCTATGTTTATCAGCACCATATATTATCATTATCAACGTATGGTGACTGCGTACCATAGCAACTTACTATGATAATATAATCAATACAACATGTGTATCAAAGCGATGCCGTCGCGATTAATTGGATTTTCATAAAAGCTTTCTAAATATTGAACTTACATCTGATATCATTAGGTTCAAGGCCATGGATTTTTGACAAAAATAGACACTCAGCGTATGGTAATAGGGTTCAAGCCTATGTTGGCTAAACTGAGCAAATATTATTAGCCTCTCGCGTGCTACGAGTACGAATCTCGGGTGTACGAGAGAGTTGAGTGCCCAATGCGCAATTGTACACACGGGTGTACGAGAAACGAGCACCAATTGGATATTTTTTCTGTGACGTATATTTTCAAGTTTGCAACCCGTTCTTTGTTTGATTGAACAGATAAGTCGCTTTTCTATTAAAATATTTGCCGTTTGTACGAGAGGCGCGCGAGAGGTTAAATGTGCATCCCTTCCTACCTCTTTGAAAACAATGTGTGTGTGTGTGTAAACGATTGATGAATGCAGGTCACTTCCACCTAACGGTTCGATCTTGAAATCATTGGGAAGGTCTACACGAGATGTCATATGGCTGAAGTGATGTTGTCATCATAGTACCATGTGTTTTTACCCTTTCGTGTGTCTAAAACGTGTGTCCACGCGAGAAACAACGTATTTTTTATTGTGTCTCATATCAGAGCATTCAAGAGGTTTATAGCCGTAGTTGTAGTCGTATAAATGAAAGAAAAGAATTCCAATGTAAAATTTAATACCAGGCTCTGTCCACAAAATAATTTATGACTTAACACAAGTCAATTTGGTCTACTTTATAACAAACATTTGTAGGACAACAATGTCATAAACGATACAGCATATACAAAATCATAATCGACTAATAAAATTAAATCACACAGCTTACATAATATTGATTATTTATACAAATATTTAAACTTAAGTTACAAAGGGAAAAACAAAATAATTATACTAATTTTGTATAAAATTCAATACTATACACACAACATTTCTTTATAAAATAAAAATTAAGTATGCATAATGCGGTTGAAATAAAAAGACGTTGTTTGGAACAAAGACAGTTTGACAGGCAAAATTTTGCTGTGCCTAGATGGCGCCTCGGTCGATTTCGGTCAACTGAGTCTAACAAATCCTGCCAAAAGCTTGATTTGATGATTTGTTGATACAAAGACATAATTTACGCATATAGCAAATGATACTGACAGAAAGGACTTTTAAAACATCAATCAACGTCTGTCCATTTCAACCCAAACCTTAGGTTCATTTTTTCTTATTTTTATTTACATCAATTTCTTACAAAACTGTCGGTGAGAGGTATTTTAACGTCACATGATCATGATAGGTATTTTGTGACTAAACACACCTAAATAAAAACTTAATATTTCAGTTTTATAACCTTTATAACTCGGTGGAAATCGCTGTGTAACCAAGGCCCTGTTTGACAACCACCGATTCAGTATTTTATTAGTCTTAACAGGCGAATATAATTGGCATACCTTCTAATAGAACCTTAATCGGTATTTATGAAACAGGACCAAAGCATTTAACAATATTTAACTTCATAATTATATTTCAGTGCGATCGTCTGACAAGGCAACATTCCGAGTATAACAGTAGAACAGAAAACCGGGTATATAAAAAAATAATAAATAACTTACTGATTAAACTATAATTTAGCCAGTAAATTAATTAATTAATATAAATAACATTTGCAATAAAGGCAAATAAATAAAATGTCCGGTCGATCGACGTTGATTTTGAACCTTAATGTAAGACGTTAAGGTCAAAAATAGGTCAACAGTCGAACATTTGTAGGAAATCTCATAAACACGTGTCGAATTTGTATTCAGTCTTTGCCATTCTCACTGTTCACTGACGTTTGTGGAGGAAGGAAAGAAATTAAGGAGAAAAATACACTTTTTACACACATTACTCGTCGACTCCGCCTACACCATGGCTTGAATATTAAGCGTAAGCCAACGTTGACGCCACATAGATGCTAGCAGGTCAAATTACTCTTTTATTAAATTTCCAACTTTATTGTTTTAACATAAAGTCCAAAATCTAATGAAAGTATACCGATCAGTTGGTTAACCTACTGGCTACAGTACCTACGTTAGACAAGTGGCATTGGTGCCAATGTAATGTTCATGGCAATGTATCGGATAATTTTGACAGATCTATCAGAAAAAGCTTGAACTTTTGGTCTTTTTAATAACTTTCGGACTTAAGATATAAACGCGGATTTTAAGGCACTTTTCCTAAGTAGTAATGTGATAGAATAAATTGACGTAACAAACGAAGCTGTGAGAGATACAATTTAAAATTTAAATGTCCATAGCCGAGTGCCACAAGACATACGTGACACAATAACAAAGAATTCAAAATTCACAAACAAATATCATCCAGAAACATATCGTACTAAGTTCAATACCTAAAAGTTCGAAAGTCTTGCCTTAGTCTAAAAGACCAAAAAGTAGCAGTATAAACGAAAATAAGACTAAACATCAGCGAACTAGCTCAAACATTGAATAACACTGCAAAATAGACAAACTAAACATAATTATGACAATGTGTCTTTAGCGCTTTTATTACTATAGAAATAAGGCTCATATTTGTTTAACATTTCTACCCTATTATAGTAATAGTTTTATATATTCCATGCGATAAATACATACATAACGTACGATGTTCTTTAAAAATATTTATAGTAAAAAAAGCAGCTAAAAAGACACATGTCCAAATAAAAAATATATTTCAACAAAATTAATACTTTAGGGGGCATGGAAAAACAACCATACAATAATAAAATATTGAATTTATCTACAACTATCTATTTAATTATATTATCTATCTAATATTTATGACTCTTGTGTCGCTTGACGTGAAAATTAAACATTTAAAAATATAAAATTATATTTATTTATAGAATGGCAGTGGCGACACTGTTTTACGATTTCAAACCTTCCCATACAAGATTTAGGGTCGTTTTTCAATTGTCACCACTGACATGCAATGTAGCCTAGTAGTGGTGACAACTGTGTGTGACATCTTTAAGCTTTATAGCATAGGATTTAAGGTCGTTTTTCAATTGTCACCACTGACATGCAATGTACGCGCTTGACTGCTTCGATTAATATAGATTCACTCGTCACACAATTCTATAATTATATTTTGTTAATATAAACATTTATTTAAATTTATTTAAGCCTAAGTGAGGCAGTCATATCGTGTTGCTATTGTTACAGTCAGACAGTTCATAATTATAATTATTTGTCTCTTTTCTTCGTTCTAGAGAAGAAAGAGAGAGAAATGAACTAAGATACTGTAAATGTTAATTTTTGAATGGAAATGTCAAAATTTTATTTGAAAGTTACAATTCTTTATTATTTATATACGCCATGTTAAAAAAAACTTTAAGAAGCAGTGTTTTTAACCATTTTAATAGGTTCGATTACTTTAATTTGCAAAATAACAATGAAAATTGCAAAATTAAAATAACAGACTATGTTGAGAATAAGATATAGGTATAGTCTTTAAGACTGTACGGTTGCCGCGTTGATTAGGCGACATGCTGCTGTACCGCGAAACAATTCTTTGTGTGATCCACAGATTGTTGTTTCGGGTTTAAATGTCATGTGTATGTGAACTTGTATGTTTGTAAACGCACACACGACACAGGAAAAAATCGTAATGAAGCGCAACATTATTTAAAAAAATATGCCTTAAGTTGAAATCGTTAAAATTAGTAACAGAAAAGTGATATAATTAATTGATGAATTCAAATTGATGCAAATATAGCACCATTGTAGGAGATAGAGGATAGAACATAGAAGAAAAATAACAAAAAACCTAGACTACTATGGAGTTTACTATAAAATCATAGTACACGTAAATCAGCTAACAATAGTGTGTCTAATTACCATTGTATTAGAAACAGTTTTTGCTTAGCAGGATGATGTTAGTTTATAGTCTGAAATTACTAATGCTTAAAAAAACTGCTTCGAAAGTAAAAAATAAACTTTAAACTACGTACAGTGTAGTATTTTATAAACAGTAACGTTATACATATAACAATAACTGTCAACGCTATAACAATAACAGCACATAATTTAAATATAATCTTCTAATATAATTTAGAATACCGGTGTTAGGAGTTAGGCAGTCGGCGCTGATTGGTTGGGGGTGCGCGTGCGCAGGCCGCGGACCGCACGGACGCCGCCATCACTTACTTGACGACGGTTGGCCGCGTTCTTCTGTAAAAACGAATACATTTTATTATATATTTAATGTCGATTTAATGTCGATAATAAATATTGCAGGAATTTGCTAGATGCAGGTATGCTCAGCAAAGAATAGCGAAATATCTAGAAGCTAGACTCTGTGTTTGTCGCGGAGAACCTAACGGGTAACCGGGGCTCCGGCTCGACGTGCAGGAGAAGGAACGGGGTGGTTTTTAGTCAGTAAGAGTCTGACACTCCCTCCCGCCTCACCCAGGCGGGAGCAGACATTCGATGATTTTCCCCCCTTACAAAAAAAAGACTGTGTTTCTTGACGGGTTTCCTGGGTGTTTTCAAGGCCCGAGTGAATAAGTTGCTTATGGGACGACTTGCTCCATTGTAGACCGCATCATCGCTTACCACCAGGCTAGATAGTGGGCAAACGTAAGCACATCGAGTATAAAAAAAGAAGCGCACTATAAATATTTAATTAACATAAACAGACAGAAACAAAACAACAGTAGACTGCGCAACATCGCCGCTATAATTAGAACTTTTATATGCATTGTACCGTAAAATGGGGTGGATAGGGATTAAGTGGTGAATCGAGACAGAAGAGGGGTAAATAGGTATTGGAAAATTTTTTATAGTATCGATTCACCCCTCTTCTGTCCCTATTTACCTCTCGATCCCTATTCACCCCATTTTACCTATGTCATTTAGTCAAAGTTTGTTAGCGAGTGACTCAATCACTATATCGCAACGTTTATAATACGAGTTTTAATTTACGACTTACAAACACAATAATTATGTTTACATATTATTACGTAGTGCAATCGACTAGATACATAGTCCATCAGTTTTCCTGCTTTCAAGCGATCGGGTAAAACCCTCTAGCAAGTTCTACTAGTCTTTTTATTTATAGAAATGTGCAAGAAATGTGTTAATTTTGTGTAATGTCATGTTACAGTATCGCGTTGGTAACATTTTTAGTTATTTTTTTTTATTTTAAAAGTTTATTTATTGTACTACGGCTTGCATAAATGGATTAGTAAGAGTAAATGTTCATTATTTGAGAAAGTCAGAGGCTTTCTGTTATTTTATTGACTTCAAAATATTATATAACATAAAATCAAGCCTTTTATCCTCGTAGGGGTAGGCTGAGGTGTACACAGAGGTAACACCCACTTTTCATTATTTATATTATGAGTCCCATGTAATAATACCACTTCCACAATAACTACAAAACCGGATTTTACTGGATTGCCTCATTCATTTGTAGTAGTAAATATTTACATTTTATTGTTTAAGCAGCAATATATTTTATGTTTGATTTTATTGCTCGTTGTTGCAATAAGTCACAGTTGCGTATTTTATCACAAGTAGGTAGATTGGAACAGTAGTTACATATGTGTTGTAAGTAACTGATGTAAGTATACATACGTATCAAGTTTTACTATAGTTTTTTACTATGTTAAATTGTGTGTGTATGTGTGTTCTGTGTCTATTAATGTGCTGCGAGGATTGAATCTTTTATATCATCTTTGATATATTTTAATATCATGCCTTTGGTCTTATGTATGGGATACAAAAGTAGGAAATATATAATCATGTCAAAATATTAAACACTAGCGGCCCGTCCCGGCTTCGCACGGGGGGACTTAAGATTTTTTACATAGTTTTTCGCGGACCTTTTTAAAAATAATGTTAAGATGAACAATTCATCTATAGAGCATTTTTGTATAACTTTAACTATATGCTCAGCGCACGCCACGGAAGGCCTCAAAAACGATACTTTTCCCCCGTTTTTAAAACATTTTTGGTTACTGCTCCACAACTATAGGACCTAGCGTGATATTATATAGCCTATGTTACTTCTAAATAATGCAGCTTTCTAATGGTGAAAAAATTATTGCAATCGGTCCAGTAGTTTTTGAGTTTATTCATTACAAACATACAAAAATACAAAAATACAAATCTTTCCTGTTTATAATATTAGTATAGATGAGTAAATATCGTGAGACAAACTAAATTAACTGAAAATCGCGGGCGACATAGGCTGCGCGACATCGCCGCGACCGCGCACGCTGCTCTTGAGGTAGAACCCCTCTGGGGTTCGAAACTAGTAGCTTTTTTCAGTATATTCACGTGAGTAACCCGCGATTTATAGTTAATATTAAACATATTATTAATAGAGCTACTTACTGAAATTCCTTCGCGCCTCCTCTCTTTCATGTGCATCAAAGTACCATAACGTGATGGCATATCTGAAAATGAGCAAAATGAAAACATTAATGACATAGAGTTGACTTCACACTCGTCGCGTCGGTAACGCTGCATTTATAGGTCCCGGGTGTAGTTTGAAATTAGTTGAGTAACCTCGACTTCGGCATGTATCCCTAGGAGATAGATAAACTAAAAGGTTAAATCGATTTTAGAAGATGTTTTGGTCAATAAAATAATAATTAACAACTACTTAAAAAAGGGGGAGTTATCATAGAGACCATGGTAACTCGATGAAACCTATATGTTAAGGTTTTTGATATTTTATATCTGGAAAACTTTATTTAATGTTAGTATTGTTGCTTTGTCTTAATAAATGTTTATTTATTTTGTCATAAATTAATTGTAAAATAAAGAGGGGTTCTGTAGCAGTAGTCTGCGCGACATCGCCGCGACGCGCACGCTGCTCTTGAGAAACATCCCCTCTGTGGTTCGAAAGTAGTATAGCTTTTCTTAGTATATTCGCGTGACTAACCTGCGATTTTTGATTGATTCAATTGTTTAAGTTCCTATTGCTATGACAGTAAAGACAAGTTTCATTTGTTTACCTTCTTATTGCTAAGAAAATAAAGTACATTTTCATTAGTTTATGGTATGAAGTTTTACCTGGTGCTGTATGCAGGCTGGACCTCGTGTGGGTTTCGTCTGTCTGACCAGAAGAAAAGCATCCTATCGAATATGGGAGCTATGTCGGCTACTTGATTCGTACCCTCTGGGAACACCCTGGAAATAATACAAGAATTTTAAAATGAATTGTTTATGAGATGGCGCTGGTAGTTTTAGTCTATTGGCCAATAGCATGTTTTGTAATGCCAAGTCATTTATTATTTATTTAATTTATATTTTATAAGCACATGCATAATTTTATAGCACAAGCCAAAACATTTTACAGTTAAATAATAAGTCAGTCAGTCATACATAAGTCAGGTGGTGACATGTACAAACTGATTGTGCTAGAAACCGTCAACAAGTAAGTAATAAATAAATATTGGGGTACGTTTATTTTCAAAATAGGTCTTTGGAACCTCTACTAAAGCAAGCATGGTTTGAATCCAAAACGAATTAACTCTCTCTGGTGTCACGTGTATGTGAAATTGTATGTTTGTAAACGCACCCACGACACAGGAGGAAACCCAAGTATAGGGTAATATAAAAAATAATACAATACACTTTCGCACCACCCGAAAACACTCACAAAATAATGACCAACAATGTTAATTGGACCTTTTTTGCCAAATAAAGCTAAAGATATTTACCTTAGTAATCCTCCGCATCGTTTGACATCCCAATCGAGATTCAGATAGTATATAGCGGTAATACAGCGGCCATCTTTGTTTGGGTTATCCACATGTTTCACGTAATGGCTGCCTGAGCCGGGGTAGCATGCTACCATTGCCTGCGAAAGAATAAAATAAATACATAAGTACAGTTCTACATTTCCTTTTTTATGGTGAGGTTCGTAAAAGACAAAATTATCCGCGATTGGACAGATCCAATACTCAGGAATATGAGCCTTTATGGAGCATATTGGAACTGGGTATGACGTGAAGCGCTGCTAGTAATTCCAGCGGACTACAACATCTTTTAAATTTTCAGTGAACTAACTGTGATCTACAAGTCAAAACCAAGTTCAAGTGTGCCAAGTACGGGAATTACGGCAAAACCCATTTGAAGATAGTACAGGACATTCAGCAGTGGACACATTGTGGTTGCACACTCAAACTCGAAAGCATTTATTTCAATTAAACCGTAATTTGGTACTTTTGAAACGTCAACAAATATAAAATAAATAATAGTCTGTCAGTCTGTTCGTCAGTGAAGCTAGGCGCTCGTTCCAAAAAGTAGATTGGAGTGGAGAAGAACGAGCAAGAAACTACATTCGTTACTCTTTTAAAAATAGTATGTTTACAATCTCTCTGATACATATTCGAATATTGTCTAAACATGTGTGTGTACAATGTAAAGACACGCTTGACGCATAACTACAGAACTTACTCTTTTAAAATAAAAACAAAACAAAAGTAAATAAATATAGTCTAACATGGTTCAATTGATATGATAAAGTAAAATGCAAATAAAATAGCATTCTAGTAATGAAAGATTATCCATAGAATTGTTCTACATACATATACTATTCAGGCACGTAATCTCTGTTATCTCAACTAGCCATATAACTATTTCTAGACCTATCTATCTGTACCTACCTTCAACCGGGCCTCTATAGACAATTTATACGACAGGGTGTTATAATCTAGTGTTAATTTATTTATACTGAGTCGTAACTATCATAGTGTAAACACTATAACATAGCATGCTTGGCACGTGTATGTTATACTTTAGCCAGCTTTGGAAACACGAGAAGAACGTTTTTGGGTTTTAGCTACCATCCTTACTAATATTATAAATCGGAAAGTGAGTTTGTTTGTTTGTTTGTTCCGCTTTCACGCAGTAACTACTAAACCGATTGCTTTGAATTTTTGCAGACGTAAAGTTCGAAGTCCGGATTAAATAATAGGGTACTTTTTATCCCAGAAAGTTTTGATATTCCCGAGGGAAAACAAAAGTATTGGTATAGATGGCGCTGTGTGTATTGGTATATGTCACATTTGGCTACTTTTATCCTTTTGTGACGCGAGCGAAGCCGCGGGTAAAAGCTAGTGTTAAATAAAGATCAATGTTTGTATTTTTAACCGCTATGCATTCCGAAACTACTGCTCTGGGGGCTTACTCTTGAATCCAATTCCGATCGATCGACATAGGTTTTGTGAACTTTCGTAGTCTTGAGTTGCAACACTAGCGCCCATTGCATCCGTATTGCGTGGATATTGAATGAACTAAATGGTATTGAGTTCGGCTTTATATTCCGTACTCCGAATGCTATTTTAACAGCTACGATAGGGGTTGTATAGTTTTGATATTGAATAATTATTGAGATTGTATTGGATTGAAATTGCATTGACATTGAGATTGGTTTCGAGACTATGCATCCAGATTATGATGATACTTTAGAAAACAACAACCCGTAGGTAGGATCCAGAACTATCCCAGTTTCGGGACTGTGTCTATAGCTTATGATGACGATAATGAGGAATGTATCTTGAATTTACTCATTTTTAAAAAGAATGTGCACATAAAGAGGCAAATATATATTTTACATGAGTAAATATTACATAGAGCAGCCAAATATTTAGCTAGCGTAATTATTGGCAATATTGGCATATTCATAGAGATGAAACTACACCGGCGGCGGCGTCGATATTTACTTTAAATTTAAAACAGGTAAGTACATAGACGGGTAGGTACTAGGAATTATCAGCATTTTTCTGGTTAATTTAGTGATCACAGTTGCGATTGATCAGTTTTTTTATATTCGCTGGACCGACGTTTGACCACTATCTCGCCTGGGGATAGGCGATGATGCGGTCTACGATGGAGCACGTTGACCTAAAAGCAACCTATTCACTCGGGCCTTAAAGACACCTAGGTTATACCCTTCAGGAAATGTATTAGGATTTGTGATGGGTTCCGGATTAGATTTCAATGGGGACTAACGTTAACCAGAAGGCACAAATGTAAAGGAAGAGGATTTTTTGTCCAATGTCCACAGCAGCTGTCAAATATTGAACGTCCAATGGTGTAACAGCAGCCAATTCCCTATTGGAAGAATAACGAGAGCTTCACACTAGCGCCATCTGGTTAGCAAAATTGTAGCCCCATTGTTTTTAGCCAGCAAGGATTTCAGATTTTCCATAACATAAACTAGCGAAAAATTTGAGTTACCCAAAAGCATCTACTCTAAACATACTTTCGAAACATAGTAGACATGATAAAAAGGGCATTATCACCAAAATTGGGACCCATCATCAAAAAGAAATCGGACTAAACTATTTACAACATTTCGAAGCATAGACAGTAGGTTAACGACTTCGAAAGTCCGATTTTATGTTAAAATCATTAGTAATGTTATCACGCGTCAAATATTGACATCGGTACGCGAATCGAAGCCATTATAGAGTTGAATAGATCCAGTGGGTGGTCCTATTCAGTATGGTTTATGAATAGAACTGATATCCTTAATAGCCTATTGAGGTAGGCCTGTGGCCTGTTTATGTTATTGCCGAATCAGGGCGCCATTTTGGCAATGTTAATTTTTGCGTTTATCTTTGTAAACGATAGAATTGTATTATTGCTTAATACATCAACTTAATGTTCATTGCAATAAGTGTAACTGTGAGTGACTAAAAAGGTACGCGTTGGGCTTACAGGCCCAAGCTTGAAGAAAATAAACTTCAAAATCAGTTATTTGCATATACATCTATATTTTTCTGAAAAATCCATTGTAGCAATCTTTTCTGCGAGATTTGGATGAATTTTGGAATAGCGGCAGATGAGAATACGTCTTCCGACTGTTTCATTGGGAGATTTAACCCATTGGTAAAATCTATTAGACCATAAAACTCTAGTACCTACATTGAAGCAAAATACGACTTTGTATTCAATTATGTACTAATAATAAGACATTCATCAAGGTATTTCGTAAACACAAATACATACACAGACATGCGTGATAGCCCAAGTCTGCCAAATTATCAGGACTAATGTTATCAGATATAATACATTATTGTGCGCATTAGATACATTGCTTCTAGAAGATTCAGACATAAATAAGGAAGTCACAACATTTTTTTTCTATAGTTTTCATCCAAGAATAAACTAAAAAAATAAATAAATAAAAAAAGTCGCCTATGTGACATACACCAATAAACACAGCGCCATCTATACCAATACTTTTGTTTTCCCTCGGAAATATCAAATTTTTCCGGGATAAAAGTACTCTAATATTTAATCCGGACGTTTAACTTTACGTCTGCAAAAATTCAAAGCAGTCGATTTAGTAGTTACGGCGTGAAAGCGGAACAAACAAACAAACTCACTTTCCGATTTATAATATTAGTAAGGATTCTGTCTATTTATACGTCATGATCATTATCAGTCCTTTTCTATCTACTACTGGATACATGCCTTTGAGCACACACTACTGAGCTCGACCTTCAGCTGTTAGCATCCAACTACTGCCACTTTGAGGATATCGTCACCTCACTTGGCTGAAGGGTAGCCTACACTACTAGCTTGCGGTCACAGATTTATTGCCATACCAGCTTGTACTTATGTTAGCCATACACATTTTTGACGTATAACGATACAATATAAAATGGTTCGGCGGCTTTTTTCACATCACGTGTCACTTTCGTTTTTTTTTTGGATTAACAGACTCTCACAGCTATGGCTTCCAACCTCTTTTTTAACCCAGACCCTTATTATATCTACATTAACGAAAAACACCATAAAAAGCCCTTACATTCTTTAACTGTTCAATCCCCAAGCGGTCACCGGTGACCGCTCTGCACTAACTACATTATAGACCTTATTTCCGATATTTAGAAACTACTTTTGTATGAACAAATTTAGTGTACGATTTAAAAGCATAGAAAAAAAAACAATGCTTCCGCTCTATGCCTGACCTATGATATAGCATTTGATAAATGAATTGCGAATACTTTTCGGCGCCGGCGCACCTCACCTGTATTATCGAACCGTTTAACGCTACTCACGTACAAATACAACTTTTATTCACTTCTATAGATCGATTTTGATAAGAGAAATGTATCGAATTTAAATGGTTTAAGTCTGCTTTAAGATATACGACTTTACTGTTCAGAGAATAAGGAAGATTTTAGTGGATAATGTTAACTTTGTGAAGTTTAGTATCTACTGAAACGATGTGGTTGAGGATTTCAGTTTGAAAACTCATAGTACAGTTATAGTATTTAATTATTTACTCATAGTCGAAGTACTACCGTTTATTACATTTAAACCAATTAGACAAATTGAAAGTTAACAGACAAATATTGTACTAAGATAAAAATGTCTGTGAAGCTATTTGCTCGTTCCAAAGTGCCGAGATTCCTAAGGAGAAAAAGACCGAGCAACTTAATAAATAATTGGAAGTTATTTATTGGGTTTTTGTAATATATTATCTATACATTTAAGTACGTTTCATTATGAATTGTATTATTAATTATTTTGTTATCCGTACTCTGCCAAATAAATAATATTTTGGTATTTCCCACGAATGAAGCAATCATCATCTTTTAATGATTGTAATGAATAAATTAAAATTAAAATCCCACTTTTTACTAGTATGCTAACTTCGGCTAGTGGCTTTGCCCGCGTTCCCGTAGGATAAAAGTGGCCTTTGTGGTATTTTACACATCTTCAGCAGTTCTGACGTGAAAGAGTAAGTAACACACACATACGGGTGTATGTGTGTTGTTGTTTGTCACAAACTTTCACATTTATAATATTAGTAGGATTTAATTGAAACCTTAACAGAAA